GGTTGGACCACTTGGGAAAGGGAAATACCTGTGGGGTCATGGATGTTGGCTGGCACCATGGATTCTGCAAAATCACTGAGGATAGGATGAGTTCCCTGTGACACTCAATGTGTCAGGCATTGTGCTAGGCTGTGGAACACCAAGGTGAGCAAAGCCAGAGTTCTTGCTCTCCTGGTACTTGCACACCCAGCACACGGCAGCGGCAGCGGCCGCGGCCAACCATGGGCTCTGCGTTTCTCTCAGGAAAACCAGAGGTTTCCTTCCTACGCCTCCCAGGTAGAGAGGAGACCTGGGAGAGGAGGGTCGGGCACAGACGCCATGACCAGATAGGATGCTTGTTCTCCAGAGAGTCAGTGCACAGCAGTGGCAGTAGCGGCGAAACTTTTACTTTTTGATACTTGTATTTTGTCTCTGCCTTGTCAACTGCTGCTGCTGCAATTTTTGATATCTCAGGCCAACAATTACCATTTTCATGTAAAAACTAAAAAGTTTGTGATATATATACAGATGATTCTACATCCACCAGTATTTTTATAAGAAACTAGAGCCCGGTGCACAAAAATTTGTGCACTCAGGGGGGAAAGGGGGTCCCTCACCCCGGCCTGTGCCCTCTCGCAGTCTGGGACCCCTCCGGAGATAACGACCTGCTGGCTTAGGCCTGCTCCTGGGTGGCAGAGGGCAGGCCCAATCCCTAGGTGCAGCCCCTGGTCGGGCTCAGAGCAGGGCTGATTGGGGAGTTGGGTCGCCGCCCCCTGTTATGCACAGAGCAGGGCGATCGGGAGGTTGCGATGCCACCCTCAGTCACACTCAGAGTAGGGCCAATTGGGGGGTTGGGGTACCATCCCCTGTTACACTCAAGGCAGGGTCGATGGGGAGGTTGTGGCGCCACCCCCTGTCACGCACAGAGCAGGGCCAATCAGGGGGTTGGGGCACTGCCCCCTGTCACTCACAGAGCAGGGCCCATCAGGAGGGTTGGGGCTCTGTACCCTGTCACGCACAGAGCAGGGCCCGTCAGGGGGTTGGGATGCCACCCTCTATCACACACAGAGCAGGGCCGATCAGGAGGTTGGGGCTCCGCCACTCTCACACTCAGGGCAGGGCCGATGGGGAGGTTATGGCTCTACCCCGTCACACACACAGCAGGACCCGTGGTGGGTGGGGAGTTGGGGTGCCGCCCCCTGTCACACACAGAGCCGCAGGGCAATCAGGGGGTTTAGGCGCTGCCCCCTGTCACGCTGATCCCCGTGCCAGGAGGCCTTGCGGCTCCGCTGATCCCGGTGTTGGGAGGCATATTAGCCTTTTACTATATAGGATAGAGGCCTGGTGCACGGGTGGGGCTGGCTGGTTTGCCCTGAAGGGTGTCCTGGATCAGGGTGGGGTCCCCACTGGGGTGCCTGGCCAGCCTGGGTGAGGGGATGATGGCTGTTCGCAGCTGGGGGGGACTGAAGCTCCCAACCGCTCCTTCTTTTCTTTTCTTTTTTTTTTTTTATTCTGGGCCAGCTTTAGCTTTGAGGCTTGGCTCCAGCTCTTAGGCCTCCGCTGCTGAAAGTAGGGTTCTGGCCTTTGCTTACTATGTTGCGATCCTGCTGGCTGAAGCCTGACGGACTAAAGCGGGTTTCTGGGGTTTTGTTTAGCTTCTATATGTGTTACATAGTTTCTTAAAGTTGCAGCTCCGAGGCCTGCAGCAGCAGGCAGGGAACGTTGGAGTCCTCCGTCACTGAAGCAAGCAAGCCTCATGTTAGTTTCAAGCTGCCTGGCTGCCGGCCGCCATCTTGGCTGGCAGTTAATTTGCATATCGCCCTGATTAGCCAATGGGAAGGGGAGCAGTCGTACGCCAATTACCATGTTTGTCTTTTATTAGATAGGATTGTAAGTGTTCAATATAGACAGACAGATAGTTAATAGAAAACTTTACCTTTAAGATAGAAAGACACTGGCTCCAAAGTCTGTCGTATGCCCATTTTGGGGGTCTTTTCTCTTCTGAAAGACAGAAGGCCAATTTCGTGAGTCAGAAAGTGCAATTTCATGAGACCTGCCAGACTAGAGGTGTTTAATGTTTTAGGGAACAATGTCTTTAGACTTTGGATACGTTAAGAGTAAATATTTTCTTCCCCCTAAGAAGTTTAAGACATTTTAAAATAGAGCCTGTTTTGGTCTTATAAATTCCATGAAGGCTACCTCTTGTATTCAGATTTCTTTCTTATTGGCATTTTTTCTTAATTTAGCATACATTTTATTAAATGCTTTTATTTATCTCAACCTAAAAGAATATTGAACTGAGATCTCACTCTGTGAATTCTGGTGTATATTTTTTAATTTGTTGCCTCAAGTCATACCAATTGCTTGTCTTTAGTTGCTTCTATCCTTGTTAAGTCTAACACTACTCTCTGGAGATCCGTCTTCATTGTGCCAGGTACTCGGATTTGTGTTGTGTTTTGGGGAATCCAGGAAAGGCTCCTCTGGATTCTCACAGTTCAGTTGGGTAGGTGAGATTAATACACAGAAAATACTGAGGACATAGCTTAGACTTTTTCTATATTTTGTAGTCTGGTTAGAAAAGTAAGAACAAAATTTTTGGAAAATGAGATAGACATCTTCTGTAAAGTGATCTAAAGGTCTCTAGTGAATGTAAAGTTTTAAATAATAGCCCTTAAAATTACCAGCAACTCAAATAATTTACACACTTCTCTTTGAAATTGCTTACTGTATTAAAAAAAATAGTAGTGTTTAGTGACTATATATTTTCTAATGAAAAATATTAAGAATTTTTATGCCTCAAAAAATCTAGCCCTGGCCAGTATGACTCAGCTGGTTGGAGTTTCATCCTGTACACCAAGAGGTGTCAGGTTTGATTTCTGTTCAGGGCACAAACCCAGGTTCCAGGTTCAATTCCCAGTTGGGGAGCATGCAAGAGGCAGCTGATCAATGTTTCTTTCTCACATAGATGTTTCTCTCTCTCTCCCTTTTCTCTGAAATAAATTTTGCAAATATATAGTTGAAAACATATGCATGTGTTACTTATACCTAATAAATTTAGGTGGAAAGTTATTTTAACTTAGAAAAAAACTTAACTTGTTCTGAGTTTAGGATACAATGAGGTCTTCAGTGTTCTTCCCAGGTGTTTGAAAATTTCCTTATTTTGTTTTTTTTGTCAGATGTTCTGTTTTTTTAAAAAATCCTTTTTCCTCGGGCACATTGAAATAATTAAGAGAAAAGATACTTTACCTTTCCTCTTAAGGAATATGAGGAAACAATTCTAATAACCTTGTACATTAGCCTATATATTGAGTTCTTTAGCAGGAACAGCAACCCATTAAACAGTAACATTTCTGAAATAAAAAATCACAAGTGGGTAATTTTCTTTTTGTCCTGTAGTTTTTCTCGAGAGAAACTATAGCTGCAGAAAGGAGAGCATGAAGTATTTGCTAGATGCAGAAAAATGTAGGTCACAAATGAGTAATAAGTCTGGTTAAGAAAAGCAATAAAAAGCATGACTAATGTTTCCAAAGCTTTTGTCATCTCAGTAAGACGCAGTTTGTGAAACAGTCCTGCAGAGAGTGTCTTGGACTTGGTTTTTTTAGAGGATTATTTTTCACAAATAGCACATATGCTACAAACTTTCATTGCCAATAGTTTTTAATTCATGTATATTCATTACAGATTGAACTGCTAAGTTTATTGTTTTTAAATTGTGAAGGCTTTAGGGAGGAGAAAAATTCATGAAGGAGTTTAGGCAATTTCCATAGAAACAGAAGCTAAATCCTAAGTAATATATTTTTCTAATAACTCTGTTGGGTAGATAAGCTGTGCCAGATTTCAAGAGAACACCTGCCTTCCTGTTTTAATCCATGAATAATTATTAACAGTCCTTCTATACAAAACAATAGAGGCCCGGTGCATGGATTCGTGCACATTGAAAAGAAATTAATTAGAAGGTGGCCAGTGGGGCGGAACTGGGCAAGATAGGCCAGACACATCCTGGAGCCAACCTCCCACAGGCGGCGCTGCGGCTCAAAGGGTTTCTGCGGAATGAGTGGGGTTCCTCTGGCAGGTGGGGTCCCTTGGCCTGGCCTGTGGGGATGGGGCTGAAACCGGCTCTCTGACATCCCCCCAGGGGCCCCAGATTGGGAGAGGGCGGTTCTTGGGTGATGCTACCCGGAATCAGGCTCCCTCTGCAGCTCAGCAGCTCCTGCATTAAGCGTCTGGCCCCTGGTGGTCAGTGTACGTCATAGCTACTGGTTGGAGCATCTGCCCCTTGGTGGTCATTGTGTGTCATAACTACCAGCCAGTCACTTAGGCTTTTAAATATATAGATAGATAGGAGAGAGACAGGGAAGAATGTTGATATTTTCTAAGAATCCATCTGTTGAGAAATATACAGAAAAAACAGAAAAATAAAAACAACTCAAAATAGATTAGCTACATTATGATTGATTTTTCCTCTAAGAATTTTAATATGTTAAAATTTTTTCTAACTTAAAACTGAAAGCAATTTTTTAATCTCATAAATTATCTTATATTGAATTCATAGGGAAGCCTAGTTTTCAATTGTGATTTAATTGAAAAATGCCTATATGTTAAATTAACTTTTTTGTAATTGCAAAGCTTAAAAACAAGATGTTCTGTTTGGGACTGTTTGTTTTTTTAACATGTTTGTTGTTGTTGTTTATTTCAGAGAGAGGAAGGGAGAGGAAGAGAGAGATAGAAACATCAATTATCAGAGAATCATCGATCGGCTGCCTCCTGAACACCCCTACTGGGGATCGAGCCTGCAACCCAGGCATGTTCCCAGACCGGGAATCGAAACAGTGACCTCCTTGTTCACAGGTTGATGCTCAACCACAGAGCCACACCGCTGGGAGAGACAGTTCCTAAATAATACAAAGGAGAAAGATACTTATTCAATTCTTTAAGTAATTATTAAACACTTTTATATGGCCATGATTTGAAAGTAATTATCAGTTAATTGTTTGTGTTACTCTTCTTTCTCCCCCACACAGATGGAATTAGACACAGCATTGAGTGACTTGGAGGCTGCAGATTTTGCAGAACTGGTAAGAGAAGCAGTGAGTTTTAGGAAAGACAGTGTTGATTTCTCATTTTGTAAATCAGTCATACTAAAAATATTGCGAGTGAGCATGCAATAATCTTGAAATACATAACATTAGGTCTTTGTTTTGACAAGGGCAAAGTCTGTTTGACTTACCTTAAGATTTTCTACTCAGTTGAACATATTTGTGCCTGGCCAGTTGAACATCAACCTATAAACCAGTTTTATTCCTGGTCAGGGCACATGCCCAGGTTTCAGGCTCGATCCCCACTGTGGGGCGTGCAGGAGGCAGATGATCAATGATTCTCTCTCGTCATTGATGTTTCTCTCTCTCTCTCCCTCTCCCTTCCTCTCTCTGAAATCAATAAAAATGTATTTTTAAAAAAGTAGAGTAGGGCAGGTAGGATCTTTTTTTGTCTCTCTCTCTCTCTCTCTCTCTCTCTCTCTCTCTCTCTCTTACTTCCTCTCTGAAATCAATAAAAATATTTTATAAAAAAAGTTGTTACATAACATATATGTAAAGATTTACATATATAATTATATATATGTATATGTACATATACATATATACATCAGTATTAAGAACTGGGTTTTGTGAGACAGGATATGCATGTAATATTGATTAAATTAAGTAAAAATCCTGTAGATCTGGATTTAAATTGAAAGTGTAAGTATGGTTTTTAATCTTTAAAAAAAAGTGGTATTTCCTAGTTCTGTTAAGGGAAAAGGCCATCCCCAGTAATAAGGAAGACCACTCACACCCAGGCCATGGTGCATAAGTAATATTTTTTGCTACAAAGAACCATGACTCCTAAGGGAAGTGACTGGATCCAGATTAGGGCCTGAAAATAAACACGTGTATCATCAGGAGTGCCATTTTAACAAAAACTAGATCATAGTGATATTTTGTTCTGCAGCTTGCATTCTTTGCAAAACAGTATATTCTAAAACATTTTGTGACTACTCAGGTATGATACTGTGTTATACATCTAATTTTGTTAACCATTCTCTTTTGCTAAAAATCACTTCCAATTTTTGCACATTACAAATAATTCTATTAAAAAGTGTATGTTTTTTAATTTTTTTTTACATACCACACAGTGACCCTCAAATAGGTTATACCAATTTGTATTATCAAAAATAATATATGTTAATGTTAAATATCATAGATGATGTGTAGGTAGATGCTTTTTGTCTTGATACATTTATTTTAATCCCTCATGGTGTAACAAATCTTATGTTTATTTTTAGATGTCTCTAGTCAGTAGTTTCTTATAAGAAACAAAAACAAAACTTTTAAATCAAAATACTTACTTTGCACACTACCTTGCACCCTAATATCCTAATGTATTGTTTTCTGATAAAGGCTGTGGAAAATTCAGTTACTAAAGAATATAATTGTCATTTTAACTGTTGTTGCTTAACTAGGATTTTTTAATCCACTGTCGTTTTCTCCCCCACCCAGTCTGAGGATTACTATGACATGAGGCGGCTGTATACGATTTTAGGGTCTTCTTTGTTTTACAAGGTAAGTTGAAGCTTGAATCTTTATAAATGTCCAACTGCTATATGACCTAAATTTTCTCAAACTTTTGCAGACATGAAAAATGTATCTATCTCTTTTCCTCTGAATGTAGGTACCCTAAAATTAAGATCTTAAAACTTGTACCTAGACAATAAATATTTCTGGTTTCATTGTGTTCTAAAGCATTTGTAAATTTGTAAAGAAAAAACTACTCAAAGAACCAAGTGTGTAAGAGATGGGAGAGGGGTTTCTGGTTTCCTTTTGCAGTAGTATGCTTGTTTCTTATCTTCAGACTCACTATGCATCTTTTTATTTTATTTTTATTTTTTTACTATGCATCTTTTTAATAAATCTTTTAACGTTAAGTAGTAAACTTCCGCATAAAGAAAGTTAAATATCCAGAGGCATGGATACATGGAATAGACTAACAGCTGTCAGGGGGGACAGGGGCAGGAATGGATGAATAAAGGTAAAGAGATTAGCCAAAGAACATCTATATTATAAAAGGCCAATGACGGTAACGCCTTAACGACCAAATGACCAGTCACCAGGAGGTGCATGGAGCACCTCTCGGGCCCTCCCCACCCCCACACCCTAGGGCACTGGCAGCACCCCTGGAACATCGCAGGCTTCCAGCAGCATCCGCATAGCGTGTGAAGTGTTGCAGGGTGGCAGACATGGCCCTGATGGCAGGCTAGGCCCAGGGGACCCTACACACTCACGATTTAATCGTGCGCTGGGCCTCTAGTATATGCATAACCTGTAGACACAGTGCAATGATGGTCAGAGGAAAGGGAGGCTACGTAGGGGTGGGTGGGGGGTCGAGTAGGAATGGGGACATCGGTAATAGGTCAGCAATAAAAATAATGTGTGTTTTTTTAAAGTAAGTTAAGTGTCAATTGAATTTAAGTGTTTTCATTTTTCAACTCCTCATTCTCTGCTTTCCATCCTCAGAATTCAGTTCTATTCTACTTTTGCCATTCAGGCTTATACTACTCAGAGATGATCTTGTTTTGTGCTACCATCTACCTGTTGTTGACTTAAGTTATTATAAATATTTGATCTCTAGTTGACCTCAGTGGGTGGAGGGAATTATTTTTACTCTGTCTTAAAACTGGGATATCTTAAGCCAACTGAAGAAGTACCTATAAAACTCTTAGAAATATATTATGGGATTATTGCTTTATATCACTGGTTGATTTTTGTTCTTTGTGGTTCAATTCAAGGGTTATTTGATTTGCAGTCATTTGCCTAAGGATGATCTTATTGATATTGCTGTATATTGTCGCCACTATGGCCTACTGCCTTTAGCAGCAAAACAAAGAATTGGTCAGCTGGTAATATGGAGAGAAGTGTTTCCTCGACATCACCTCCAACCTTCTACAGATTCAAACACTGAAGTCTTTCAGGAACCTGAGGGGAGATATTTTTTGCTAATTGTTGGCTGGGTGAGTTTGCGTTGGTTTCTTTCTTGGTTTTTTTGTTTGGTTTTGTTTTTGCCATTTATTGTGTAAATAAATACACAAATATGATCATTTAAAATTATGAACATATCAAACATCAGTATTCAGGAAAATGTTACATGCCCCTTATTCCTTTTTTTTTTTAGCATCCATTTAATACCCATGGAGAAATATTAATGAAACCCAGGATAAGATTTTAGTAGGTTCTTAAGATCTTTTGTTCCCATTTTTTAAATATTTTTTTTATTGATTTCAGAGAGGAAGGGAGAGGGAGAGAGAGAGAGCTAGAAACATCAATGATGAGAGAGAATCATTGATCGGCTGCCTTCTGCGCGCCCCACACTGGAGATAGAGCCCACAACCCAGGCATGTGCCCTGACCCAGAATCGAACTGTGAACTTCTAGTTCATAGGTCGACGCTCAACCACCAAGCCATGCTGGCTGGGCTTGTTCCCACTTTTATAGTGGTTTTATCCTCTGATTTGTTTTGGGAAATAGAGGGAGACATAAAAAGAACATAGAATCAGAATAAATATGTGATTATAAATGAAAGGACTTCTAGTAATTGAGGCTCTTAGAAAAATACCTTAGGGAATTCCATGTGCCTATAAGTTGTGACTGATGGTGTATCAGGACAAGGCAATACAAGATTTGCTTTCAAGGGTGATCAAGAAGCACTGAGCATATCTAAGAAGGAAAGGGAAGGGAGGAGTTTTTAATAATCATCACATGGTTATGCTATATGCCTATATGTCTTCAGTATTCATAAATTGATACAAGCATATTGCATATAAATATCTTCATGTAGCTAAATCTATACTAACAACTTTTTTCTTATAGAGGCATTATATGTTGTGTGTACTATTAGAAGCTGGAGGCTGCTCATCCAAAGCTATTGGGAACCCTGGACCAGACTGTATATATGTGGATCAGGTCAAAACAACTCTTCAACAGCTGGAAGGAATAGGTGGCCGCATAAATGAACGGCTGGCATCTTCTCCAAGCCCCTGCTTATCTTGTGCTGACTGGTTCCTTGCTGGATCACATGAAAAATTAGATTGTTTGACAACCTCTCCTATCCTCAGTAGGCTACAAGGTATTTCCAAAGCAGCAACCTCTCCAACCTGCAGAAGAACTCTTTTTGGTGACTATTCCTTAAAAACACGTAAGCCCAGTCCTTCCCGAAGCAGTGGAGGATCTGACAGTGGTTGTGAAGGTGGAGAAGGTGTTGGCCCGAGCCCCCACACTACACCAGATGCAGTACGGAGGCAAAGAGAATCCGATGGCTTGGAAGAAAGTGGGGCCTTGCCTAAGGTGTGTGTGTGCATTCAAGTGTGTACATTCTGGGAGCTAAGCTGTCTTTCCAGTCCTTATTTTATAATTGGAATAGAATTTTTTAATATATTTTTATTGATTTCAGAGAAGAAAAGTGAGAGACAGAAAGAGAGATAGAGAGACATCAATGATGAGGGAATCATTGATCGGCTGCCTTCTGCATGCCCCACACTGAGGAGTGAGTCTGCAACCCAGGCATGTGCCCTGACCAGGAATCAAACCATGACCTCCTGGTTCATAGGTCGACACTCAACCACCAAGCCATGCTGGCTGGGATGGAAGAGTTTTTTGGGTTGGTTTTTTTTTGGAATAGAATTTTTAATGGCAGATCATTCTTCATTTGAACTGGTGGTTGTTTTAGTCACTGTTGGGAAACCAATGATTTAGAACCCAAAAGAATAAGAAATAATAAGTAATATCCAGGACATCTGTTTCGACACTACTGACAAGAAGGGAAACTTTAACCCTGCTTTCCTGTTCATCTCAGTCTTCTCTGTTTACGATATTAATAGGGAACAATCTAGTTATGGGGCATGTAAGGGGCTCATCTGACTAAATAGCCAATAAAATGTTCAGCAAAAACAAAAAGAAAATCAGTAACTTAAAATATATGTGTGTGTCTTGTTCTATGTTTTTATAAATTTTTAAAAATCTGCACCTGTGAAGGTCTGGTCTCCATATCAAGAATTGGAAATGAGCCAAAACCGGTTTGGCTCAGTGGATGGATCATTGGCCTGCGGACTGAGGGGTCCCAGGTTCGATTCTGGTCAGGGGCATGTACCTTGGCTGCGGGCACATCCCCAGTCGGGGGTATTCAGGAGGCGGCTGATCGATGTTTCTCTCTCATTGATGTTTCTAACTCTCTATCTCTCTCCCTTCCTCTCTGTGGAAAGTCAATAAAATATATTGTTTTAAAAAAAGAATTGAAAATGAGACTATTAAGCAAAGAGAATGTTCGTTTTTCAGACTGCTTATTTATCATACTTTGTGTATGTTTTTTTCCATGAAAATACCATATTATATCTAAATGATTGTCAAAATAATCACCCTGGGAGGCTTTCTACCTATTCTAAAGACGTTGCTTTTCTGAAACATTTTTAAAAGTTGTCATTTAAGTGGATGGAGGTGATGAAGCATGACAAAGGAGAAGTCTGAGAAGGGGCAGGAATAAAATGAGAGTCTGCGTGTCATGGCAGAAATAGCCATAGATTTTATCTCCTAATTCCAAATAATAGAGCACTCTTGGAGCTCTAAGTGGATATATTTAGGAAGTATTCACATATGTACTGTACTTACTATCATAGTCAGTGAAATTGGTAGGAAATAAAGTTTAAGGATATTTGGAAAGAATTAGGAAGCCATGAACAACTTCTAAAAAAAACCTGAATTAATCTCTAAGATTTAGCTATTTGACAACTGTTGATTAAACACCTACTATCTGCCCAGGTCTGTGCTACACAAAAGAGATAGATACAATGATGAATAACATATAGCCCCTGCCTTTGAGGAGTGCAGTTTGGAGAGGGAGACAAATACACATACATATAAATTATAACAAAACTTGGTAAAGGCTCCATAATGGCTGTGGTAGAAGGTTTTTGGGGAGAACTTTCATTTCTTTCTATGATATGGCTCTGGGGTCTCTGACAGCAAAGGATAAGCCAAGAGACACAAGTTAGCATTGAAAGTATGTAAAGGTAACATTGCAAAATAGTAAATAGTTCTCTTCAAAGGATATTTAGTTTTTACATTACTTCTGCTATTTAATTCTATTCTTAGGCATAAA